AAAATGCTGAAAAGCAATAGAGTAACAAGGGCATGAAACCACCATTTTTTGGTCATCTGGTATGTGTGGTGTTTCTTATCCTTCTTTCTTGACATGCAAGAAAAATTAGCGCCTACCAGATTACAGGAAATCAATACTATGAGCAGTTACAAGGACCTATTGTGTTAAGAGGGTTTCGGAAAGTAATTTTATCATTTCTTTATAATTCAAGTCAGTCTAAGCTTCTATATGTGCTGATTTGATCTAACATAGTGGAATCTCTGAGAAGGATACGATTTAGAAATCATTATGTTTATCTGGAGGTGGCTATTCCATAGGCTGTAGCATTCAGAAAAAAAAATAAATACATTTAAAAACATATGCCATCATATGGATCAGTAAATAGTCTTAGGAAATACATTCAGTTTTGGTCATCCCTTTAGCAGTAACTAGCACTATATATTGGGACAAAATATGTGTTTATTGACTGATTTGTTACAGAAATCTCAATAGTATGCTGATGACCACTATCATCTTTGCCATAACAGAGCATGTTATTAGCACCAGGAAGTCTGCACTGATGTATAATAAACCAACGTATTTTAGGAGCATAGTCTGTTTTTCTTACAAGTCATTCAGGAAATCCAAATGCTTATGCTGTAGTTGTAAAGAGGAACCAGTTAAAGGCCAGAAGCAATGCTGAATTATTTAAATTCTTAGTTTATTATAGACAGATCAGTAGCTGAAAAAAGTAGTAGTAAAATAAAGGCAGCAGTTGGAAATATGTAAAGACTCCATATTTCCACAAGAATATGAAGTTGCTTTTCTAGACAAGGTCTCTTGGCAGAAATAAGTAGGTGGTAAGAATGAGGCAGTGATTCAGATGTTGGGGTAATATGATATGTAAACCTAGCCACACAATCACCAACTGGAATCCAGACCCTTGAATTTTGTACCTAGGCGTATGTGGTACAAGAGAAAAAATTTGGGCAATGATGCAAAAAACTTAGGATATTTCTAATTCTCCTTTCAAAATTAATTTTCTAGAAGCACAAAATTTTCAGAGAAGATGAACAGAGGAATAGATCAGCTTCTATGAAAGGAACACACTAGTTTACCTGCATGTTTCAGGCAAGAACAAAGATGAATGAGAGATTATATGACAGAGTTTTATGAAGGAAAGA